AGTCTTCCTTGTCATTAGGCATTCTTTTGACATAAACCTGTTGGAATTTATTTTTAAATTTTAAACCATATTCTGGAAGATACTGAATATTTGTCATTTTAATTGAAGTAAAATGTCTGCCCTTTTTATTTTTATGCTTTTTGCTTCTCCAGTGCTGAATGTGTCCCACAGAAATACTAATATTTCTCTCAATCTCTATTTCACCATCCAAACCTGGATAACCTCAGCCTGGGTTTGAGGGACCTGTGAGACTTAAGAACTGTTTCTTGTGACTTAGATATTGAATAGGGTACATGTGTACATCCTGACTTGTTCCAGGGAATTGCCTTCATCAATTTCTAATTTCTTTAGCAGATTGTGGGCAGGGCTTCAAAAAAATCGCAGCTCCATAATCCTAGTTCTATTTCTGCATCATTCCTTTCTGGAACTGATCTCATCTATGTCCATTTATGCTTCTGACGTAAAATAATTTTCCATCTTCATTCAAATCAGAACATATTTACAAAAATATTAATGAGTGCTCTCCTGAATTTCCACACTGAATGCCAGAAATCATTTGCTGTAAGAAATTTCCTAGCTCAAATGCACCTAGGCGAATAAGAAGTTTACCCAAAGGGCTGGCCTCTCATATGTACAAATCTGGCCTCAATGAGTTACATGAATTACACCCTGGGCCCTGACGGTGGTGGGAACATCTTGTCATTTCTTCATAAACCATAATGTCTAAGTGTATCAACAATGCCTGCAGAGTTCTGAGACTGCCTTCCAGATCTTCTCTCTTCTTCATTCTCTGCCTCTTTATTAAGACAGGACAGGATAAGCATTGGCTTGGAAGCTGGGTCATCGAGGATTGCTCGTTATAGAACTCCTAGTGACAACAGTGAGTTTCAGCAATTCTTCGTTATGGGCCCTGATATCTATTTGTAAAACTAACAGCTTGTAACAGATGACTTGTAAGACCCTGTTAACCTCTGAAATTCTAGCATAAGTGAATGAACAAATGAAGAAATAAATGACTGAATAAATTATTAAGCATTCTGATCTAGTTTTACCTACTTTGTCTTTCTTGCAATAAAACTGAGTGGTATGACTTGAATATGCATTTTTGAAATGTATTTAAATTATAAGCTAAATGTTGATTGAATATTGCTGACTTAATACAACAACTAATGTTTATTGAAACCTTATCTGCCAGCAATGTGTGGAGGATAAAAGAAAAAGGCAGTCAGTTATTTAAACATTTAAATATGTTGATTGTCAACACTATGAATACAGCTTGAGTCCAAAATTAAATCTCAAATAAAATTTTGATTAAATACAAATGCACCATATCCATAAAGCAGAACAAAGTATTAAACCAAGTCTGTATCAATGAAAAATTTCATGTCAGGATTTGTCCAAATGTCATGTGTTTTACTCCCTTTCCTAGAAACCTGCTAGAGCCGATGTGAGAACGCAGCAGGGGTACTCTTGCCAGGGGAAAGCTAGACACGTTAGCATTTTGAACACAGCTAACCATGATGCATGACAGTAGAGAAGAAAAGTATATTTATGTCAGTAGGGTCAACAGTGCTTTTTAGAACCACTTGGGGGGTGTTAGATAGCATTAGGGAATCAATCTACAACTGGAATAGGGCAAAGAATGTTATGCAGGGCCAATGAGTCACACTTTTAAACAAACTTAGTCTCACCTCTGGTAGACAGAACGCTATCCCTCAAAGGTGTTCACGTCCTAATGCCTAGAACTTGTGAATAAGTTGTGTTACATGGCAAAGGGAAATTAAGGTTACAGATGGAATTCAGATTGCTAACCACCTGACTCTAAAATCAGGAGATTATCCTGGAATATCTGAGTGGGTCCAGTGTAGTCACAAGTGACCTTAAATGTGGAAGGAAGTTAGCAGAGTCAGAGTTGGCGACAGATTTGAAGATGCTACCCTGCAAGCTTTGAAGATGGAGAAAGGGGCAAGAAGTCAAAGAATTCAGGCGGCCTCTAGGAAACACATTCCTGATGAAACCTTGATTTCAGTCCAGTAATACCCATTTCAGAATTCTGGCCTCCATGACTGTCAAATAATACATTTGAGTTGTTAGTCACTAAGTTTGTGGTAATCTGTTACAGCAGCAGTGGGAAGCTCATATAGCATCTTTCTAGTAAAAAAACAAGGGTAGAAATCCGAGAGAGGTTGGGGGTAAACCACTTGAACAGCCTCCTTTATAAACCAATATCCTGTTCCCACTAATCTCAAAATTGTATTTGAGACTCTCCATATCTCCAAAGGCAGCAGCTGTTGTCGTAAAAACTGTCCTCACCCATAAGTCTGTTCTGACGTGACAAATCACCTTGCTACACTTAACTACAAATTTAACCCTCTTAATACAAGTTACTTTGTTTGTGGGGTTAGTTGTCATCTTCTAGAATAGATTATTCTTAATTTGGCAGAAACTCTATCTTGATACTTCTTTACATCTCTTTATGCCATACATAGAATAGACCGTCACTAAATATGATTACTGATTGTGTTCTCATAAGGACCTTATAAAAATTAGTCTCAGGTGGACACTAATCTCACAACTGGGTCTATATGTGCATCAACAAGATTCCAACAAACTGAATGCTCAGGTCTGTTTATGAATGATTATCTTAAAGTTTTAATTTAAAAATAATATTAAATTTTTAATTTTAAATTGTATGTTTTAGGCTGGTTTATAGCCTAAGTTATACTTCTGACAAATACAAAAGAAACAAAAGAGTGAAGATAAGCAATTCTCATATTATACTATGAAAATATGATACAGCACTCCTTCAGAGTCTGAACATTATATACATTCAGATATTACTTATAATTACTATTGTGTCTATCAGTAAGTTCAGGTTTATGCACTTTAGACATTCCTATATTTTCACTGCATCTAAAATATCAAAAATTATTTTCAAAATTATTTTAATTTTTCATGTACTCTTGGACATCTCTGAACTTCTGAGTCACTTCCCTGCATATAAAGAGAGACACATTTAAGAGGAGACCTTTTAAAAATGATGACACATTTCTAAATACAATCGATTAATTATAGCCCAACTATCTTAAAGATTTCCAAACAAATTTATGGTCACAAATTCAATTAACCACATAATTTTTTAGTGGCCCCAAATTGTACGACCATATAGTGTGACTTGTCATTTTAATACTTGATGTACCTTTAATACTTTTACTAGACTTTTAACTTCTTTAAAACAAAACCCATGCCTAGTTCATTTTTAGACCCCTTAACTAGCATTGCATGTTTCATACTGCAGGTGCTCTTTAAATATTTGTTATGTGACTGAATAAAACAATGAAGAGAAGCCCATGTAAATGTAGCTTGAAATGGGTGTTACTATAAAAGGCCATCTTATTTGTGTAATAATAAGAAATAGAAAGTGTAATGCCACTGTTTTGGTAAATTATTCATACTTAGTAAATTACCAAGATCTAACATCCGCAGCCTCTTTTAATTTCTACTCATTTGAAATAGAAAGTGAGATAGCTATTAAGGTTTATTTTATTGAAGAATCAAGTCCATCACTCCTATACTGAAGTTCATTTCTACCTTATATGGCAGTAGCTCTGTGCTCCAGAGTCCTTATTGGATTGAAGAGCAAATCTATACATATGCTGTGTTGTGCCAGGGGGCACAAATACTGTCTTGATTTACTCATGTGCAACTCCTATTAACACTGTGAGGAATTCAGCGCAAAGCTGAGTGTATTTTTCAAGAAGGATCATGTTGTTACACATCCAAGTAACACACGAACTCTTTTTGACTATAAAACCAATGATGTGCAGCCCTACACACTTAGGGTCCTCATTTAGCTTTTCATTGACTAAATGTCCGACTGGTCTGACTCATTCTTTGTGGCAGATATTTTTAAAAGCAAGATTTGACAAATAGAAAAATGAGGCAAATTTCTGGAACTATGAAAGCATGGAGACAGAAGTCATAGGGAAAATTCCAAATTGTCATGCTGTAACACGGCGAACATGCTAAAACATGGGCAATGTTGTGTACATTATTTAGCTTGAAAGGGACAGAAATTACCCACATGTTTGAGATAATCTCATTTGAGTGTCGTCCTTTGTTTTGTCGGGTAGAAACAGCACTACCTATTCTGCTCTGAATTTGGAGATGTTAAGAGAGGGGGATCCATGTACAGACACTGAGCCCTGACAAGAGCTGGGAACCAGGAAGGGAAGGTACAATGGGAGATCCTTCTCCAGCTTACCTTTGCCTGAAATCAAACCTCGTATTCCTCTGTGAGTGCATGTGGACCTTACACAGTCCACACTCTTTGCTGTCCTGCCCCTGAGCACACACAACCTCCCCAGTCACAGCCACGTGGTAATTGACCAACAGAGCCGACGTCATCGACCAGGAAGTACGAACACACCGAAGGAGTCTGTCCTCACATCCTCTGACTCAACACCTTATTAGCTGTATGACTTTGAAAAGCCATTTCATTTCTCTCTTAACTGTTTACTTCAAGAAATAAGAGACTTTTCAGACTTTGCCAATGACTCTGTCCTAAGTTTCTATGTCTCTAAAAACAATTCAGTGCTATATAAGTTGCCATGTTATTCACAACTTTGCTTATAGTCAATTTTGTCCTGTAACATTATTAAATATAAGGCAGAATATAGTTTGTAAGGTAATTAATGAAATAGCAAAACAGTTTTACGGTCTGTACAAATTTGAACCTAAATGAAACAGGAAGCTAAAAAGGAGATATCCACATTACTCTTTAGATTATTTATTGACTTGGAACCAGGCTCTCTAGACGTATGCTGTTTATGGGGATGGATAATGTTGGCTGCTTTCAGATATATGAAGACTTGAAACTGAGTGTGTAAAGTCAATAGAAATGTACTAATTATATATCATGTCATTTTGGCATTAAAACATTGAAACATAGGTAATAAAAGATGCTACTGCATTATCAAGTTTTGATGAAATATACTTACATTCCAGTAGGAAATGACTGAAGTGTGTGACAAGGAATTCTCTATTCTCTCTGAACCCAAGGAGCTTAGGATCAGCTGCTGAGGAGAAGAGACCAACACAGACAAGCCTGTAATGAATCCTCCCAATATAATAAACACCAACGTTAGGCACATATTTCGTAAACAAGTCAATTCTACAAATATAATGGAGTCAAGAACAAGAAAAGCAGGGTTTTTTTAATTAAGGAGAAAGAAATGGGCTAACTGGGGAGTAGGGTAGGGTGGAGTGTCTGTTAGAGTGAAGGTAACCAGGAGCAGAATTGGAAAACATAAATTGAATATTTATATTTTCTCTATTACAAATGACTGAAATTCAAAGTGAAGAGATTGCTCTTGATAAAACACAAAAAGATGAGAGAGCTGGGAAAAATACCTAATACTGTGCATTGCTTGGTATGTGTTGGTGCTACTCTGGATGTTTACATGTATTAGTTCATTTAATTCTTTCAACAGCCACATGAAGGTAGTACTGATATTATCTTTATTATGCATGTGATGAAATGAACATGGAGAGGTGCAATGACTTGCCCCAGGTCTGACAGCTAGAAAGTGGCTGAGTCGGCACAGACCTGGGCAGTCTATGTCCAAAGCCAGCACTCTCAATCGTGATGTTGTATGCCAAAAGAGTAGAAGAGGGTGTCCATTTAAATGATAGCTAAGACACCAAAAGACTGAAAAATGGCAAATACTCTGGATTTCAAAGAGGACACTATGTTATAAAATATTCCAGAAAACTCTTTTAAATAGATTATTAAATTATGTTTTATTAATACTCAGAAAAGAAACTGTTAATCATGTGGAGGGAATATTGTTTCCTCTGGAATGAATGACACCAAACTCAACTCATCTCTTTTATCTTTATAGGTTGCCGGAACAGATAAAATGTGATATAACATAGGCATACCTTGATCATAGCAGAAAATTCTTTCTGCTTTATCAAAAATTACAAAAATCTTCAAAATGGTCCTAAAAAATGAAAGTTAAATAAAATCTTGATGACTTTGTATGAATGGATTCATAGACAGCTACCATGGCTCAAAAGTACTTACGAGCGAATCGATATAAAGAAGAATGGATGTCTCTAGTGATGCATGAAAACTTTTGTATTTGGGTTAAAATTATCCATAGTATAGGATGGGGAGAACTGAGTAGTAATTTATATTTTAAAAAAATACTAAAAGTTTTAATTGGCTAAAAGTTTGATACAATTCAAAGGACATGATAGTCAAAAAATTGTAACACAATCGAAGAGAGTACTATCAGACTCTGGGAGGTAATAGATGGCATCATTCCAAGATCGCATGTAAACAATTATGTTCCGCGTGAGGTGAGTGACACATAAGGCAAATAAGCAGGAGGGAAACCCGGATGGTAAAAATTTGGATGTTTAATAAATGAATAACAGAAGTTCAGTCTGTAGAACAGATATGTGCGTGTGTGTGTGTGCGCACACGCACGTGCATGAGTTCACACATGTATGTGGGGTCCAGACGTGAGTATTGAGATCATGTTGCTCTCTTTCTGAGAAACAGAATAGCATGCTCTGATTCACATTTTAATGGGACCACTCTGTCTGCTCTATTGAGACAAGAGAGGAGTGAGGGAAGGATGGAAGCAGGGAAGTAATACAGGTGGTAATGATCCAGAAGATGAAAGTTTCATGGATTGGGATGATTCTGAACTGTGAAATGCTCTATCTTTTTGGCTTTACCCTATCTTTAAGGGTGAAGCCAGTAAGATTTGATGACACTATCTGTAAGGAATGAAACACCATACACCAAGACATCATTTTAGTCATAATAAAATTCCCAAATTTAAAGGAAACTTAGAAACCTTCTTATCAAGACTGATTCTTTAAAGGAGTTTTTTCTACAACAATCTACTCCTGCTTGACTACTTCTGTGACAAGGAACTCACTGTGTCACATACCATTCATCACATTTTAGAAAAGCTCTGCTTTTAAAAGCTCTTTTACTTATAGGAGCCTAAGCCTGTTTCTCTTTGATGAGCAAGTGTGATAGTGTGAAAACAGGTATCTGGTCTTCATCCTCAGCATGAAGCTCTTAAAGCCCTTGGGAATTCATAAGTGATAAGAGCAATAAAGGTGTGTGTATTCATAACAAGCCTCTCACAACCACTCACAAGTGGTTATTAATGAGGTGACTTTTTGGAAAGCATCTAAGAACAGGCACTGGTCACCAAGGGAACCAACATTAGAGGGTTGGAACTTACAGTCTCCTTCCTCCAAAATCTGGAGAGGGGAGAGGAGCTGAAGACTGAGTTCATTCACCACTGGTCAGTGATTTAATCAACCATGCCTATGTAAGGAAGCTTCCATAAAACCCCAAAAGGTTGGGGTTCTGGGAGCTTCCAGGTTGGTGAACCAGAATGAATCCATGTGCCACTGTGCCTGGGCCTCAAACCCCATGGGGACAGAAGACCCTGCATTCAGGACCTTGCCCAATGTATCTCTTCACCTGGCTGCTGATTCCATATCCTTTAATATCTATTGTAATAAACTGATAATCTAGTGAGTAAACTGGTTTCCTGTGTTCTCCGAGATAATCTAACAAATGAATCGAACCCAAGGAGCGGGTCATAGGAATCTCTGATTTACAGCTGATTGGTCAGAAGCACAGGTAACAACCTGGACTTGTGATTGGCGGGAGCACTTTTGGGGGACTGAGCCACATCAGCCCTGCGGATCTGATGCTACCTCTGGGTGGAGAGTGTGGGAATTGTCGGAACTGAGCTGAACTGTAGGACACCCAGCTGGTGTTGGAGAACTGCTTGGTGTGGGAAAAATACCCTACATATCGGAATTGGTGTCAGAGAGTGACAGGTGAATGAGAAAAAAAGTAAAACCTGGGAGGAAGGTGGGTAAAAGGGGAGGGGAACTGTATTTGTTTCTTCACTGGCATCTCCCAGCACATAACATGTCATGTGCCATTAGGTACGTAATAAATATTTTTCTGTCTGAGCAATTTGTAATGGGTCACAATGATGTGACCATAGGATATTAGTTTATTTCTTAATGAGGTTTAAAAATAATAAAATTTAAATGTTTTCTCTATACACACACACACACACATACACATGCTTATATATGTGTCTTTTGACTCAGTAGGTTTGTATGTGATGATGGTTTTAAACAAGTGAAAAATACCACTGCATTCTAATTGATGGTTCCTTGGTGTCCTAAATCTCAGTTAAGTTTAAGGGTACATGCCCTTCAATAAGGAGTGACAGACAAAATATATACCAGTACAGTTTGACCAACAAACTCATCAGAATGGATGCCAGTCTGCCTGGTGCCTATCAGCTGAATATCAGCCTGCTTCAAACTAGGGGAGAATTAAGCTATTTGAGTGCTGAGTTTAAATACTACATATTTCTATTTTGTCTTTATTGTTAATGAACAAGCCCTATCTTTAGCTCCTGCTGTGCACTTTTGGCGGGTCTTCCATATGGTTGCTGCTAAGTATTTTGGCATTTTCCCAACTGTTTCAATTGGGTCAGTGGGGGGGACTGTGTAGGAGTAATAAAACAAGGGTGACTGCAGCAGGGAGGAGTACGATTACTAGACACATAACAGCTTACTGCCTCTCAGGCATGAAAGCACAGCTCAGGGCCATCCATTACAACAGGCAGTCAGGGCAAACCAGCTTTTTGCCATAGAGTTTACTCCAGGAAAGGCCGGGCCTTGGGTGCAGAGATGAAATCTCCTGCTTCCAGTTGTTTGTTTTTTTTTTTCCTGTTTCCTTCCTTCTTCACCTTCCCACAATATCTCAAATGACTCGACAAGGAGTTAGACAATTATACCTTGCACGCTACGTCATTCTGAGAAAGTTTTTATGAGTGGACTCAGCTAAATTTTAGCAGCAACAGCTGGGTATCAGTGGCCCTGAGGGCTTTGATCTTAGGAGGGGGGAAAATGGGGAGGGGAAGTCTGACTACCACAAATACTTGAAAATCCCTGAGACATGATTCACAAAGCCAGAGGTCACTGATAATACTGATACTGTTATTGAAGTGTCTTCCTGTTAGAAATAAAATCTATGGAAAAAAGGCACTATTGTTTTCATCCTGTGGAAGGCAGTGTTGCTTAAACACTAATAGATTGGGAGGGGAAAAGTCCAAAGCAAAATTAAGATTCTAAACAGCAAAATGATATATTAAAGAGATGTGTACACGCACACAAACACACAAAATGAACGATGTACTCAAGGTCTTGATCCAAAGAGAGTATTTCCCATATTTATGCTTATACACACAAGGATTGTTTAAATAATTCGTTATGCTTTTCCTTTCACATAATATGGAGCTTTTTCTCCACACTGAACACCAATATACAGCTATGTAGCATTCTAATAGGTTCACAGTGTAGCCAGTAATTTTTCTCGAGCAAGAAATCGAGATGTTAAAGAAATAGTTGGAGACATTTAAACCGGTAAACAAATATGTATACGGTTTCTTTTTTTCACGTTTCCAGTCAGGAACATTGAACAAAAATGTTGCATTAAAAAAGTTGCTCCACATTTCCTTCCTCCCCTGCCACCCCCAAGCCTAGACACGGGATCCCTGGAGACCCACACCCACCCGCAGTGAACGCCCCGGGTCTGGCAGGAGGCTGCGCGGGGGAACGAGGCAGGGCGGAAAAGAGCGTGAACTTCCTAGACAAACACCACTGGGCCCGGACCTCAGCATCACCACCAGCCCCTGCACTTAGGAAAGCACTACTACCGACAGCAAAGGGATGGTCGTAAATCAGCTGGTTCCAGGAGGACCCACACTTGTCCTGGGACTCCGGAGAACCCTACTTCCAGCTCCCTCAGGGCAAGGAGAACGCTAGGTAAGACTCGTATCTGTCAGCACGCAGCACGGAATCCACACCTAGAAGCCCCTGACACCACCCGCGCGGTCTCCACACCGCAACCGCCGCAACTGCGGGACTCACCGCGCCGCGACCCCACGAGCGGGAGGAGCTGGCAGCCGCTGAAGTGAGGGCAGCGGCAGCGGCTTCGAGCGCCGCAGTGCGCAGGCGCGCGCGCAGACCGCGCAGACGCCGCCTAGAAGTGACTTCTCCAAAAAGTGTCTTAGTTCGCGGTCACCTGAGCTCCGGGCAACTCGGCAGCGGCAGGCTTCGTGGATACCCGCCCTCCGCAGGTCCTGCCTGGAGACCTCGCCCTCTCCTCTGGCCCATCCGCTCGGCCATCCCGAACCCTCCCGGGGGCCTGTCCTTTCCCTCCTGTTCTTTCCCAGTCGCGGGCCGGACCGGGCCGAGCCGGGCAGCCCGGGCGCGGTCCCTGACCATGGCGTCCCTCTTCAAGAAGAAAACCGTGGATGGTGAGTTCCAGGCCGGGCCGAAGAGGCCTAGCTCTGCGTTTCTCCGGCGTATTTTGGGGGCTTTCCGGCCGCGATTCTTGTTGCTATCCCTGGGGGCGGGGCCGGATCAACTGGCCCCACAGGTGACCGCCCTCGTGCGTCACTTTTCTGCTTCCTTATCTCTTCTGACTCGCCCCACCTCAGCCTCACCTGGGCATTCTTCTTCCCTCTGTTAACACAACCTTTAAATCCTCCCGGCCCCCACCTCCGGTTTCTCCTTCAGCGGGATCCTGAGTATTTCATGAAGGGAGGATGCGGCTGGACCTTGGGGAGTCCTTAGACTTGGGGATGTGATGAATTTCTTCTTGATTTCATCTGCTTGTCAGTTGGGAGCTGTACTGCTACTTCTGGGCACCAAACCGGAAACCTGTATTGAGGTGGGGGAGGGTGTAATAGGCTCCAGTTGCAAATTGAACTTGAGTCTGGGTTAGTCTTGTGGTAAGAACATCCCATCAATGGAGATGTGATACAAATGCTTCTTGACTGACTCCAGTAGAAAAATAGAAACCCAGGGAAAGTGCCTGGATTTTAGTTTTCGTACTAGATTTTTCTCTCTTATGATTATCTTTTGCTGTCTAAAGTAAGAGATGTTGTATGTATTGTCCGCATAGAAGTTTACATTTTAAGATACTTGCATTGCTTCAGACATTTAGCTCGGTGTCATGTTAAGGGGAAAAAAGTGAATATACAGGGACATACAAATTGATGTTTATAAGCAGTGTCTGTTATTATATGATTATATAACTGTTTAATTAGTCCTGATTTTTTTTTGACTCTACCAGGAATCAGATTCATTCAAGTTATTTAAAAATTGTGTTTCCCATTACATGTTGATTCTAGGTTGCTGCTGGTTCAACCAAAGAATCACTTCTTTGTAAGGGTCTAACTCTGCCACAAAAGGAGCAGTGGTAGCTAGACAGTGATTGGTACAAACAGGGAGCTCAGTCCAGACCTGGGGTAACTCCTTCATTCTTTTGTATTGATTATTCCAATGCCAGCAAATTATTTTGTGGAGGATTACAAAGATGTCATCTTCACCCTACCACTCTACCCTTCACTTCAACACATAATGTCATTTTACCTCTATCTATCCTAGAGCATAATACATTTTTGCTTACCCTTAGTGGGTGAAATGGACTTTTTATTAACTGAGAAATACCATTTACAATACCTGAAATAACTACCAAGTTGGTATCAGAAGTAATACAATTATGTGAAATTGGTTTTATATGTGTTTTACCTGAAAATGCTGTTTAATCTTTAACATGGCACTTTATTTTTTTCAGTGTTTCAGTACCAATATTGTAATGTTCAGTTATTGTATAGTACTTCAAGGGAAAGAAAAAGGCTTTTTTTTTGTTTCAGTTTCATAGAGTGAGAATTTACTAAACAGAGAAATGGGGCTGCATCTTTCTTACTGTGATGTTACAAATTAAATTTTTTTAAATTAACATTAAAAGCCAAACATCACAGTTTTAATTGCTTGATATCTGTCAGATATTTTCATAGACATAAATGTCAGTTCTGTATTCTCATTGCTGTGCTTCCTGGTGCTTTCAGCAATCTAGTGACTATGGCACTTGAAGTATAGAGCAGAATTAAAAAAAAGAAACAGTGAGGATGTGCAGTGGAGGTATTTAACTGTATACTTATTTGCAGTTGGGTTAATTCATCCATGGAACAATGCTTTTGTTAAATAGACTTATTTGTGAAAAAAAGGTCTTAAGGCCTTTCGGAAGGAACTACTGACTTAAAGATCTGTGTATGAAATTTCTGAAATTTCGCCACTATTTACATTTACTATAACTACTAAACTGCATACTTAATGTTTTCTTAAATTACCATGTCAATTCAGATCATTTAATGATGTCTTAATTATAGATCTGTACTTTCATTATTTTGACGTAGAGCTTTGTTGATGTTTTTATTTTTTGTTTTATTAAAAAGAAGGTGTTCTGTTTTGTTTAATAGGTGACAGCATTCTTCTTAGTAATACTGGGGCTATCTATTATGAAGTTAAATGTATTTTTAAGCCTTTCCCCCAGATCCTGAGACTCGTTGATTATTGATCATAAGACCTTTTACTGTGTGCTGTCTTTTTATCTGTTTCAGCTGTAATGAAATTCTGATATATAAGGAAAATATGTAACTGCTTATAGAGCTGGAGAATAATTGAATCTTTTTGTCTCTTTGGATGGGCTGGAAGAGTTGCACATTGTATCATTAAAGAATACTGCACATGTAAATTAAAAAGGGAGACAACAGTACGCACTTGCTACTATTCAGAGTTATGTTTAATTCATTTTTGACACAAAGATGAACAAGTCTCTGCAGTGTGTACTTTGTTACAGAAATTAATGAGAATTGTACCTTAATGCCATAGAAGAGGAAGAGTCTTTTGAATTTGAAATTACAATTCAGACCTTGATTTTCCTTTTACTGATTTATAAAGTATGTACATACACAGGGCAGTGTGCTTATCTACAGTGTTGTATTTTGTTTTTGTTTTTTGTTTGTTTGGTTTGGTTTGGTTTTTTTTCCAAAATAGACTAATGGTGACCTATTTATTGAAGCTAATTATGAACCTGTAAATCAGGATGCCGTGAGGACTTGTCATGAATGCATGACTAAATATATTTCTTAAAAACTGAAGTTCTTTAAGCACTATATAATTCATGTCTGTGATCTTCAAAAAAGACAAACTTGAGCCAGCATTGTGTTAGCATTTTGTATCAGCATCTTAATTCTTACAAAACCTGTAAGTACTAGTATTATTCTCACTTCATAGGTGAGGAAGTTGAGAGGCAAAAGGCTAAGTAACTTGCCCAGGATCACACAGCTGCTCAGTGGCAGAGCCAGGACAGCATCCCTTTGAGTATTATAATTGTTATTTTTTTCTTATTTGGGATCTTATGGCAGTTTAATTTTGCTGTTTTTGCTAAGTATATGAAGTTCTCAGCGTTTGGTAGGTACCATGTGATGCTTACTTTTGACTGTGAACCAGACTCTTTTCTCTCATAATTAGTGGTAGAACTTTAATTTCTAATGGTGGTAGAACTAGAAACAACCCTCTTCATCCTGACTCTCCCTTACTCCAGCGTTTTCCTAGGCAGTGTTGCCCAATCTCTTTTTGCTCTTCATCTAAACCTCTTGAAGGGGTAGTGCTGTCTCCTGCCTGCACTTCATTACTTCTCTGACGCCTCCCATCCTACAGCAGTTTGCTTTACGTCTCATGTCGTGAGATCTTGCTACTATCATCAGTGACTTCTACATCACCAAATCCAATGGTAATTTTTTAGTAGTCATCTCTTGAGCTTATGTTTTGCATTTGATCTTGATAATAATTTCTTCCTTGAAATTCTCTTTCAGCTTGCATTACATAACACTGATTTAATTTTCCTCAAATTCCTCTGACTATTCTTTTTCCTTTTGGGCTTTTCTTTTCTTTTTTGCTTTCTTTCTTCCTTCACCCCTCCTTTCTTTCCTTCTTTCTTTCTTACTTTCTTCTTTTAACCAGCCCTTTAAGTGTTAGTGTTTTTCTTGGTTCCATCCTGGGCTACAACTATTCTAACTGTACATGATCTTATCTTAACCCTTATTATTTTAGTTATAACTTAAGTGTTGGTGGATCCCAACTGTGTCTCTAGATATATTTTTCTGAGTTTCAGACCAATATATCCAACAGTTTGATGAATATCTCCACCTAGATGCACAAGAGTACCTCAAATTAAAACAGATCCCAAACAGAGTTCATCACCATCTCCTTCAAGTCAGTTCCTTCCCTGAGCTCTCCTCCTGCAGTGTTTGACAGTTCTCAGTTTTGCCCTCTACGTTCCATTGAGTACCAAGTCCTGTACCTTTTGCCTGTTAAATATTTGGCACATATGATCTTCCACTGTGTGCCTTCACCTCCTTGCTCTAATTCAGATCCCATTTATCTTGCTCATTACTCCATCACCTTTCTTCTTTTCTTTCCTGTAGCTTCATAGCCCTTGAATCTAGAGTTGCCTGTGTGATTGATAGACCCAAAATCCAAATCTTGCTATGCTGCTCCCCAGTGTAAACCCCTTTTTTGAGTCTCAAGCATCAGCAGGATCAAGTGAGTCCTCTTTAATAAGGCATGCATGGCCCTTCTGAATCTGGCCCTTGTCTTTCTAAAAAGAAAGCCATGTCCCTGGACAGCAACACTGTTCTCATATTTGTCTGTATGTACCATATTCTTTCTCACTCTGATACATTTTTGTTTATGATGCATAGAATTCTCCTTTTTTCTTCCTCTAGCTAACCTGAACTGTCTCAGCTCTTTTCCTTCTCTAGAAATTCTCCTTTGATGCCACCTCAAACTATGTTAAATACCTCACTCTTTGTGTCCTTTTTTTTTTTTTTTGGCGTCTGCTTCCTGATTTGCATTCGCCAGAATCAAAGTAGATCCTTATGCACTTCCAGAGTTGGATTATGCTTTTTCTAAGTTTTTCCTACTTTCCATATTTGCAAGGTTAAAGAGAATCTTCAGCATAAATGAAAATAACTCTGCAGCAGTTTATAATTCAGAGACTAAATTCCAAAATACTAACATTTACTAACCATAAGTAGTGTTCCTAGTATCCAGAGCTTACTATAGTCTGCATCCATTTTACCGCC